TGTTTTTGGCATTCCCTGGGGACTTCATTGCTTTGCTCCCTTTGCTGCTCTGCTACACACCCTTAGTGTTTTGCCCCAGTGTGATGGAGTCATATCAGGGACAATTCCTGCATGTGTCTCCAGTGTTGTCATCTGTAATCCTATGGGTCAGTGAGGGACATGGTGTCTGTGTCTCATATATTGCCCTACATGCAATATATTATTATTCCTTGAAGCCCAACCATACCATAGCTCAAAGATCAATTATCTAGTCAAGCTCATGTTTATGGATTTCAAACCCTTTTCGTATAACCTTTGGAAGGAGTATGAGCACCCATGGCATATGTGGCAAGTTCCTTTCTAATAGTATTTAGTTGGGGAATAAAATCCTTGAATACCATCAGCCAACTGTGGAACAAAACAAACACACAACTGTTCACTCACCTGAAACACAAAGGGGATAGAGTCTTAGCAGAAATTAGTATTAAAATTCTAATAGAAACCATGTATATCACAGACAACCTTATTCATAGTAAGAAGAATGCCAACTTAAATGACAATGATGTACAATTATTCATTGATTGGGTTGGGAAACATCAATTTCATAACACATTGTGTTAATTACTTATTCTATTACTTAGAGTGCAAACTGATACAGATTCTGTGGAAAGCGATTAGGTCATACATCAATCTGGCAATTTCATCTTTAGAAAACAATTATAATCCCAAATAGGAGATTCAAACCATTCTAAGCATCCATAAATAGGAGACTAGTTAAGAAGGAATGACATTAGATAATTATTATATGGTCATCAAAACAAGGACATAACCATAACAAATATTTATATGCCCAATGAAAGATCCCCCCAATACACAAATCAAATGTTAACAGAATTGAAAAGAAAAACAAAACAAAAAATCCATAATAATAAAAGCTTATTTTAATACATCACTTTTGATAAAGGGCAGAATGACTACACAAAACTCAACAAACACACAAAAAACTTAAATAACCCAAACAACTTGACCTCATAAACACAGACAACACTCCACCCAACAACACTGTATACATTCTTTTCCAGTGCATGTGGAACATTCTTCAGAACAGACCATATAGCATGTAGCAAAGCAATCCTTAATAAATCTTAAGACACCAAAATACTACAAAATATCTTCTCAAATCACAATGCAATAAAATTAGAAATCAACAGGAAGATCAAAGGAAAAAATCAAACACACGGAAACTAAAACACCCTCCATAGAAACTTCTGGGTAATAACCCACCCAACTCACTGCCATCGAGTTGATTCCAACTCACAGAGAGTCTATGTAGGGTTTCTGAGACTGTAAATCTTCACAGGAACAAATAGCCTCGTCTGTCTCCCAAACCGTAGAGCAGCTGATGGGTTTGAACTGCCAACTTGACGTTAGTAGCCCAACAGCTAAATATTCCTTGGATCAAAGAGCCAGACAAGACAACACATCAAAATATTCGGGATTAATAAAATTGAGAAACCACTGACAAATTTAATAAAAGAGAAAACGCAAATAACACCCCTAACAAACCAAATAAGTGGTCACACGACAATCAACTGAAATAAAAAGGATAATAACAGGGAACTATGAAGGGCTAAGGAGGAGCCCTGTTGGCATAGTGGTTATACATTGGGCTGTGATCCACAAGATCAGAAGTTTGAAACCACCAAGTGCTCCTCAGGACAAAGACTGGACTTTCTATGCCCATGAACAGCTACAGTCTTGTCCACTCACAGAGACAGTGCTACCCTGTCCTAGAGAGCACTGTCGGCACTGAATCAACGGCAGCGAGATGAAGTGTACTCCAACAAACTTGGCAACTCAGAAGAAACAGACTGATGGCAAAGATCACAATATCTACCCACACTAGCACGGTGGGCGGTAGGAAACAGTAATGGGCCCATCACAAAAGAAGAAACTAAACAGTTCATAAAACACACACACACACAATTCCTAATCCAGAAAGCTTCACTGGAAAATTCTACCAAACATTCACAGGGGAGCTGATATGAATTCTACTCAAACTATTTTAGGACATAAAAAGGAGAGTATAATCTGAAACTAATCCTATAAAACAAGCATAACCCTGATATCAAAATGAAGAAAAAATACCATTAAAAAAGAAAATTATATGTACAAATGTGCTTGACACATTGGATGGATGGATGGATTGTGATAAGAGCTGTACAAACCGCCAATAAAATGATTTTTAAAAGAAAAGAAAATTATTGACTAATATCTCTTAATTGACACATTTTCAAGAAAATCCTAGCCAACAGAATCCAACAATATATCAAAAAAAATAATAATACACCATGGCCAAGTGTGATTCGTACCAGGTATGCAAGAATGGGTCAACATTAGAAAAACAATCAACATAATTTACCATATAAATCTTTAAAAAGAAAAGAACCATATGATTACATTAATTCATGTAGAAGAGACATTTGACAATATCCATTGTTCATTGTTCATTTTTTAAAATGCTTAGTACAATAGAAATAGAAGGGAAATCCCTCAACGTAATTAAGGATGTATGCACAAAGTCAAAGGCCCGCATTATTCGCAATAGGGAGAAGCTGAAAGCATTTCCCTTCTGAACAGGAATCACCCAAGGATACCCTTTATCACCACTTGCACTCAATACAGTATGGGAAGTGCCAGCTAGGGCAAGAAGACCAAAAAAATGGGGGAGAGGAAGAGAAAAACCATCCACATTGCCAAAAAAGTAAAACTACCTCGATTAACAGATAACATGAGCCTATACATA